CTTCCTCTCCATCCCTCCTCATTTCCTTCCTCTTCCTCCCCTCCCCCAAATTTCCTTCCTCCCCCTCAAATTTCCTCCTTCCTCTCCCCCCTCAAATTTCCTCCCTTTCTCTCCCCCCTCAAATTTCCTCCTTCCTCCCCCCCCTCAACTCCCTTCCTCTCCCCCCTCAAATTTCCTCCTTCCTCTCCCCCTCCTCAAATTTCCTCCCTCCTCAAATTTCCTCCCTTCCTCTACCCCCCTCCCTCAAATTTCCTTCCTCTCCCCCTGACACCCGGCGGGCACGCGAGGGAGCACTCTCCTCTGTGTGCTTCCTCTTCAGCTCCCTCGCGCGCCGCGTACTGATGCCAGCGCCGGAAGATGACGTCATCTTCCGGCTCCGGCATCAGTAAGGTGCGCGAGGGAGCTGAAGAGGAAGCACAGCTAACAAGGGAGGGGGGACAAAAATAAAAAAAATTAAAAAATTAAATAATATTAAAATTAAAATATTAATAATATTTAAAAAAATAAAAATAAAATAAAAATAAAATATTAATAATATAATAATTTAAAAATAATAATAAAATGCCCACCCCCCAAGGCTCTGCATCACATACACAAACACACTCTGCATCACACACACACACTGCACTCATACACACACACACTGCACTCATACACACACACAATGCACTCATACACACACACACTGCATTCATACACACACACACACTGCATTCATACACACACACACACACACACACACTGCATTCATACACACACACACACTGCATTCATTATATACACCCACTGTAAATAAATATTCAATTAATATAACTTTTTTGGTATATAATTTTATTTAGAAATTTACCAGTAGATGCTGCATTTCCCACCCTTGTCTTATACTCGAGACAATAAGTTTTCCCAGTTTTTTGGGGTAAAAGTCTCTACTTATATTCGGGTCGACTTATACTCAAGTATATATGGTATATATATATATATATACATACATATATATAATACATGTGCATTGTGGGATTTAAATTAATTTACATAGTATGCCAGACTGTGCCCTGAAAAACTGTGCCCTGAAAATGATGACTGAAAATCTTGCATACCATATAAATTCCCATAACAGGTTTGTTAAAATTATAATTAGGACAATGTATGACTGACTTCAATTTAGTCAGATATTGGATTGTGAAATATACTCGTGATAGTTACTCTTTAATATGTTTTGTCTTTTGTATTTATTTAGTTTTAACTACATAGAAAGATTGATCACTTTTTGCCATATTCCTGCAGTACCTGTATGATTTCAAATCTCTTAAATAAAGAATTTTAAAATAAGATAATATTATTTTTAATAATAATAATTACAATACAACAATCACAGAAAAAATGCAACTAATTACATCAAATTACAACAACTTAATAGCAAATAATAAACATCTGTTTTTCTTTCTAACAACACTGGTTTTGGAATCTACAACCAGGAATATAAATGGATCAGCCACAACATTAAAATCACTGACAGGTGACGTGAATTATATTGATTATATCATCAATGGCAACTGTCAAGTGGTGGGATATTTTAGGCAGCAAGTAAACAATCAGTTCTGGAAAAATCATGTGTTAGAAGCAGGAAAAATGGACACGCAAAAAGATGACGTTGACAAGGGCCAAATAGTGCTGACTAGACAACTGGGTCAGAGCATCTCCAAAACTGCAAGTCTTGTGGGGTGTTCCTTCTGGACTTGCAGTGGTTAGTACTTACCAAAAGGGGTGCAAGGAAACAAAACTGTTGAACAAAACTGTTGTGTCTATTGACAAAGCATCTTAGGTATACTTTCAGAGTTCGATTATCCCTTGGCTTTGTTCCAGACTATTCTTTCGATGTTAAATCTGGCCATTCTAAGGCCCAGCAATACGTTTATCTATTTTAGTCTATTCACTGTATTTAACATAATTCGTGTTGGGCCACAGTATCGTCCTGACAACCCTGCCACACTGCAAAAATTGTTCAGGAATGGTTTGAGGAACATGACAAAGAGTTTAAGGTATTGCCTTGTCCTCCAAATTCTTCAGATCTCAATCTGATTGAGCGTCTGTGGGATGTGCTGGAACAAGAAATCTGATCCTTGGAGGCCCCACCTCGCAACATGCAGGACTTAAAGGATCTACTGCTAATGACTTGGTGCCATATACCACAGGACATGTTCAGAGGTCTTGTGGAGCACATGCCTTGATGCATCACAGCTGTTTTGGCAGCACAAGGGGTACCTACACGATGTTAGGGATTTAATGTTGTGTTTGATCAGTGTATGTATCTCTGTTAAATAAATTGTAGTTTTCTATATTAAATCTATGGAGAAATTGCTATTCAGTTGCATAGTCCAAATGTATCTCACATTAGATAATCCAGATTTAGGTGACTTTTATCTTATTACATTATAATAGAGAGATATTTGATGAGTACTTGCACATTTTCTTTAAATCATATGACCATCCAATAAAGCAAAACCCCTGAGTCAGTGTATTAAAGGTTACAACAATACTGATAAAACTGTAGACAATTTATCAAAGAAAGAAATATATTGATTGGCTGACGGTGTAATGTCTCAAAAGGGACCAAAGGATTGATTAATATTAACATATTGAACAGTTTGTGGTATCTTTGTCTGATATCTTGATTTTTGCTTCTAGATGGCAATGAGGTATAGCTGTTTCCAAAATGTTTAAATATTTCTCAAATGATGACTTAATGTTCATCTTTTGCTGAGAGAATTAAACATATACTATTGTACAGGGCTATGGAATTTGCTGGCGCTATATAAATAATAATAATAATATGTCAACCATATGAATATTATTTAGGAAGCTTTTAAGGGGGATAGGCAGGCCTGGACTAACATCAGGGCCGTCTATAATATGATTAGGACCCTGGGCAATGCATTTTCTTGGGCCCCATGGGCCCTGTCCCTGCCACTGCCTCACCCCCCAATTACGTCCAACCCGCAATCACACTGACAGACGTACTGGCACATGCACACACAGACAGACATTAAAACATTCACAGATACATACTGACATACACAGTCACTACACACAAATATATACTGGCAGATATACTGACACACACACAGACATACATACATACATACACAGACACATACATTAACAGATATACTGACACACACACAAACACATACACTGACAGATATACTAAAACACACAGACACATACACTGACAGACACATTGACACACACACACAGGCATACTGACATACACACTGACACACACACACAGGCATACTGACATATACACAGACAGACGTAATGGCTGATACAGACAGACATTAAAACATTCACAGATATATACTGACACACACATACACTGACATACAAATATATCCTGGCAGACATACTGACACACACAGACACATACACTGACAGACATACTGACTGACACACACATACACTGACAGACATACTGACTGACACACACATACACTGACAGACATACTGACTGACACACACATACACTGACAGACATACTGACTGACACACACAGACATGCTGACACACAGACAGACGTACTGGCACATACACACAGACAGACATTAAAACATTCACAGATACATACTGACACACACATACACTGACACACAAATATATCCTGGCAGACATACTGACACACATACACGTACACACACACAGACTTACTGACACACACACACAGACATACACACACAGACATACTGACATACAGACACACACACACAGACATACAGACACACACACACAGACATACAGACACACACACACATACACATACTGACTGACACACACACATACTGACACACACATACTGACACACACACACATACTGACACACACACATACTGAGACAGACACAGACATACTGACACATACAGACACAGACATACTGACACACACACAGACATACTGACACACACAGACATACTGACAGGCATACACACACAGACATACATTTAGCCACCCTCCAGGTTCTTACCTTTTCCTGGAGGGTGGTTTCCCTGGTCCAGTGGCAGGCTGAGGCAGATGGGAGTTCTCCTCTGGAACTCCCCTCCTCCCTGCCTTCCTCCTCCCGCGCGGCCATTATCTCCGGTGGGAGGAAGTGACGTCACTTCCTCCCAGCCGGCTGCAGAACCGGAAGAGGGGCCCGGTCGCGCTGTTTAAGCGCCACAGCGCCCGACCGGGCCCCTGCTGACACATGCTCCCGGGTGGCCCTTAGTGCATGGGCCACCCGGGGAGCCTCCTCAGTGTGCGGGAGCCACACCGCCCGGTCCATAGGGGCTGCGCAAATCACGGGGCCCACAGAGCAGCTGCTCTGGGCCCCCAGGAGCAACTGGGCCCGGGGCAGCTGCCCCGTTTGCCCCGCGTTAAAGACGGCCCTGACTAACATAGGGGCTGATAGTGCTGCAGCGCAAGGCCTATGCCCATGAAATTGACCCATTGATTTAAAAAATAAAATGAAAAAAAATTACTTTTTTTTTTTTTCTTTACACACTACTCCTAGAGTTTCCACCTGGCTGGTATTTTACTGGCACAGACAGTATTTGAGGCTGCCTGGCCGGTGCCGATATTGCAGTCATACTGGCAATACAAATGCTGGTATTTTTCTCAGTATAAACAGAGATTACGATGCAATACCAGCACTGGCCAGTAGGGGTCACTGTGTGTGGAGAGAGGCAGGGATAGGAAATCCAGCATATCCCTCCCTGCCTATCTCTTCTCACTGATCTGCAGGGGTGCAGCTACAGAGAGTCCAAACAGCAACCCCCAGCATGCAGAGACAACCTACAGCTTAGGGAAATGAGGGATGGGGGGAAAGGCTGCAAGGAGATATGGGGACATTGAGACACTAAAGGACATTGGGAGACTTTATGACACAGACACTTCGGGACACTGGGAGATATAGGGACACTGAGACTCTAAGGGACATTGGGAGACATTATGACACAGGCACTTGGGGACACAGAGACACTTGAGGACACAGAGACACTTGGGGACACTGGGAGACATGGGGACAATGAGACACTGGAAACACAGTGTCCCCATGTCTCCCAGCCAGTGTCCCTGGTGTCTCAGTCTCCCCATGCCTCCCAGTGTCCCCAAATGTCTCAGTGTCCCCATTTCTCCCAGTGTCTACATTCTATGTCTCAGTGTCCCTAGTGTCTGTTTCTCCATGTCTCCCAGTGTCCTTATGTCTCCCAGTGCCCCAAGTGTCTCAATGTGTTTTAGTGTTTTTGGTCGATAATTATGCCCATCATAATTGTCAGCACCAGGCCCACTGCACTCTTAATCTGGTCCTGTGGATAGGGGGGCACACCCAGAACATGCATTTCTTAGCAATGGTGCTGATTTAAAATATATGAAAAATACAGATTGAGGGAACAGCGCACACAAATAAATTACCGTTTTTAATCTTACAAGGCGACTTAAAACTGCCTGTCTTAGCAAAGAAATTTGGGGATTTATTTACATCATATGAACATATTGTGTTAAAGAGACACTATAGTCACCCAGACCACTTCAGCTCAATGAAGTGGTCTGGGTGACAGGCCCCCAGGTTTTAACCCTTCAGATATAAACATAGCAGTTTAACCCCTTAACGCCGTTACGGCGTTCTATGCCGTCCTGCATTAAAAGAGCTTTAAAGCCGTTGCGGCGGCATAGAACACCGTAACGGCTTTCTGCCCCTGGAGGTCCAGTGGACTTACCTCCGCCGCGATCCTCTTCTGGAGGGCTGCCTGACAGCCCAGGCAGCCCTCCCCCGGCAAATGAGGCCCCCTGGGGCCACGTGATCGCTCTCAAAGTGCGATCACATGGCCCCCTATAGCAGGCTGTGGATAGTCCCCCTGCTGGTGGGAAGAATAAAAAAAAATAATTAGACGTGTAAAATTAAATTAGAAATGTATTTATTTATATGTATATCTATTATATAATATATATACATATTATATATATGTAACGTCATACAAAGTGTATTTTAATATTAACATAAGTACATATATTAGTATTAAAATACACTTTGAATGACGTTACATATATAATATGTATATATATTATATATATAATAGATATATACATATATTATATATATATATATATATATATATATACGTATAATTACAATAATAAATAAATAAAATAATAAAATAAATAAATAAAATATTGAAACAAAATTTAATATAAATTATATATTCATATGTAATTTCATTCTAACTGTATTTTGTTATTAATATATATATATATTGGTAACAAAATACACTTAGAATGACATTCTATATCTATCTATCTATCTATCTATATATAAAATACAAATAACCGCAAATATATATATAGATAAATACATATAATTGCATAAAAGATTACATTATTATACACGTAGAATTTAAATACCTATAAATGCATACATATTAAAATTCTACATGTATATTTAAGTAATCTTTTAACATAATTATGTGATTTGATTAATTAAAATGTGATTGACATGCCTGACAATACAGGGAGAAAGTGCATAGAATTGAATTCGCAAGCACTATATTTGACCCTGTAACTCTCCAAGACACCATGAAACCTGTACATAGGGGGTACTCAGGAGACTTCGCTAAACTCAAATATTAGTGTTTCAAACATGTAAATTGTATTACAACAATGATATTTTAAGTAAAAGTGACGTTTTTTGCATTTTTTACAAACGAACTGCACTTTTATGGACTATATTATTGTTGTAATATTTTTTACTGTTTTAAAACACTAATATTTGTGTTTAGTGAAGTCTCCCGAGAATAACAGTACCCCCCATGTACAGGTTTTATGGTATTTCTTAGTAGCCACTTAGTCACAAACACTGGCCAAATATTAGCTTTTTGCTTTTTTCACACAAAAACAAATATGAACGCTAACTTTGGCCAGTGTTTGTGACTAAGTGGCTACTAAAAAAGACTAAACATATCCCACTTTCAATACCTTGGGTTGTCTACTTTTTCAAATGGTATGTCGTTATGGGGGTAATTCTCATTCCTGGGCTACCACACCGTCTCAAAGGTAACATTACTAATCTGGCAAATTTCTATTTGAAAATGTAACTTTCCAAAACACCATAAAATCTGTTAATGGGGGGTACTGTTGTACTCGTGAGACATCGCTGATTACAAATATGTGCATTCTTTTGCAGTAAAACCTAACAGTATTATGATATTCACTGCTAAAATGCCAGACAGAAATACAAATTTTAAAAAAAATCTTCTTTTCTCAAATTTTTAAAAATGTTATTCATAATAAATTATGTTCCATATATGAATAGTTAATGATAAATTAAAGCCCTGTTTCTCCTGAACAAAATTATATATAATAAGTGTGGGTGCACTTAATGTGACAGCGGTGAATTACGGTTGAACAGACATATAGCGCAAATTCCAGTTTTTGTTTACGTTTTGTTTTGATCAGAACGTGCACTATTGACTCCGTCCTGAAGGGAGTAAGAGAAACTGCTATGTTTATATTGCAGGGTTAATCCAGCCTCTAGTGGCTGTCTTCTTGAAAGCCGCTAGAGGCACTTCTGCAACGCTGGATGCGAAAATCGCATTCAGCGTGCAGAATGTCCATAGGAAAGCATTGAGAAATGCCTTCCTATGGACTGTTTGAATGCGCGTGCATGCGAATTCCGCTCCACTCAGGAGCTGACGTCGGCGGGGGAGGAGTGGTCACCCACGGCGCTGGATAAAGGTAAGTGGCTGAATGGGTTTTAACCCCGTCAGCCCAGCGGGAGGGGGACCCTGAGGGTGGGGGATCCTAAGGGTTATATAGTGTCAGGAAAACAAGTTTTTTTTCCTGACACTATAGTGACCCTTTAACCCCACCACTACATCACAGTACCCCAATATTGGTGGGTCCTACACGAATTTTAACATGGGAGATGAACATGCAAATATTTACTGCTTAAACTGCTTCCAAAGACTCTCTACAAATTATGCTTTCATATGGTCACCTCCAAGTCGACACCAGGAATGGAGGTGTGGGTTGCTTCTCTATCTGTCTGTCTGTCTGCCTGCCTTCTTCTCTCTCTCTCTCTCCCTCTCTCCCTCTATCTGTCTGTATATTTATCTGTCTATCTACCCCCTTCAAATCACCCTGTCACATTACTTCCCCCACACACAGTCACATTGTCACACAGTCACCCATCATGCACACGGCACAGTTTCATCATAAACACAACACATATGGGCCACAAGCAGGTGCTCCATACACAGAACACATTGCACGTAGCTCCCACATACACATACCCAGAAACAGAGATACACATGCTCACAGACACACAGATATGCATTCAAACACAGTCACAGATGTACACTCACAGATGCACAAGACTACTCACTGCCAGGGCTGCCATCAGCTCAAGGTCTGGTCCAGGGGCGTACCTAGGGCATGTGGCACCCGGGGCGGGTCCTGGGTTTGGCACCCCCCACCCCCCCCGCCCCTCCCCTCTCTCCCCTTCTCCAAAATAAAAAAAAACCTACTACATTTTTAAAATGTGTTAGATTTTTAAAAAAAATTATTGAACAAATTTGTAAACTTTTTAAAACCAATGCCCCCCTCTACAAAATCCCTGCACCCCCTCACACACAGTTACAGGCAGACAGTCATACACAGTTACAAGCAGTCACATGCAGACAGTCACACATATAGTCACAGGCAGTCATACACACAGTTACAGGTAGAGAGTTACACACAAACACAGTCAGTTACAAACAGTTACACACAGTCATGCACACTGTTACTGACAGACAGTCACATATACAGTCACACACACGGTCACAGGCAGACAGTCATGCACAAAGTTACAGCCACAAACACACACAGTTACAGGCAGTTACACACACAGTCAGTTACAGGCAGTCACGCACAAAGTTACATGCAGACAGTCACAGGCAGACAGTAACACACAGTTACAGGCAGCATCACACAGTCACAGGCAGACTGTCACACACACACAGTTACAGGCGTGCAGTCACACACACACAGTTACAGGTAGACAGTTACACACATGTACACAGTTACAGGCAGACAGTTACACACACACACACATACACACACACAGTTACACACACACACACACACATATTTACAGGCAGACAGTTATACACACACACAGTTACAGACACACATAAGACAGACAGTCACACACACACACACACAGTTACAGGTAGACAGTTACACACACGTACACAGTTACAGGCAGACAGTTACACACACACACACACACACACACATATTTACAGGCAGACAGTTACACACACACACAGTTACAGACACACACACAAGACAGACAGTTACAGACACACACACACACACACACACAGTTACAGACTGACAGACACACATACACACACACAGTTACAGACAGACACACACACAGTTACAGACAGTCACACACAGTTACAGACTGACAGTCACACACACACAAACACACACACAGTTTCAGGCAGACAGTTACACACACACACACACACACACACACACACACACACACACACAGTTTCAGGCAATTACACACACACACACACACACACACACACACACTCTTATACTTACAGACAGTGTGGACTGGAGGAGTGGATTCCCTAGCCTGAAGTCCTTCCCTGGAGCCTGTTAGGTGGAGGTGCATGGCCATGTTAAGCCCCGCCCCCGCTCGCGGTTAGGCTCCGCCCATATACTGCCGTAGCTCCGCCCCTTCTTCATCCCGTGCGGCCAGTTCCTCTTGCTGGTCTCCGTCCCCAAGACCAGGGTCAAGGCACCCCCTAGCAGGTGGCACCCGGGGCGGACCGCCCCCTCCCCCCTCCCCTTAGTCCGCCACTGGTCTGGCCCCCTGGGTGCCCTCCTACAAACCTGCCCTCAGGGTACGCCTCCAAATCCCACCCACAGGATCTGCCTCCAAATCTGCCCACAAGGAAGCAGTGTTTGTAGAGTGGATACAGAATGTGTGTTTTGTGGATCCAGTGTGTGTTTGTGTATTGAATACAGTGTGTGTAAAGTGGACATGGTGTGTGTAAATGCATTTGTAGTGGATGCACAGTGTGTATATTGTGTGTGTGTATGTGTGTATATATATATATGTATATATATATATATACACAC